GAGAGATCTATAGGGGAGAAGTAGTCCAAGTATAAATGAGGTCTTACAGATGTTTCTAAAGCCATTGTAGTAGATGGCACATCTGTGAGAGCTGTGGGAGTGGTCCGACCAATTTTTTTCTCTAATAGTTGTGATTTTATTTGTAAAGAAGCTCATGAAGTCATTGCTGCTGAGATCTAAGGGAATGTTAAGCTCAACAGCACTGTGGCTCTTTGTCAGCCTGGCTACAGTGCTGAAAAGAAACCTGGGGTTGTTCTTATTTTCCTCAATCAGTGATGAATAAAATGCGGTTCTGGCACTATGAAGGGCTTTCTTATATGTTATTACATGAATCCGCTGAAGGCAAAATGGAGGCCAGACCTTAACTGTACAGGAGAGCTGTGGTATTAATTGGGCCTGAGGAAGGATGGAGTAGCTCATTATCATTAAATGTGATGTATACTGCATCTAGTATTACAATAACAAAGCGCAAACTGAATGACCCCATTGCCTGTAAGACAAGTGACAGGCTTTCAGCTAAGATACAGTAACATAGTCAAAGACATAATCCACAACTGCCAAAACCACTTTGACAACTTACGCCTGCTGCCTCCTCTCTCTCCTCTTCTCTGTCACAGGCTAGATAAACTCTCTGCCTCTGCACTTCCAACCTCGCCTCCCTCTCTGCTCAATTATAATTGCTCACATTTAACAGCTGAGCTTCTAAATCTTGAGGAGCAATGAAAATGAAGAGAAGGCAGCCCACACGCGCACACAAAAATAAATAAATGCACTCATCTCTGGTGAAAATTGACTGGCACCGGTGTTTAAAATAATAAGATGCAGCTGTTGATAGTAGCGACTGTCTCTAGGTTTACTTCCCGGTGGCCCCTGTGGCAGCACAGGAGCCGTGATGAAGGCAGACAGCTGACAGGTGCTCCAGGATGTTGCTGCCATCAGGTGCATCTGCTAAACTTAACTCAGAGATTGGGAGAGGGAGGAAAAGACAGCGAAGGAAAAAGATGCTCGAGCAAGATCGTGTGGGGGAGAAAAAGAGGAGTGGCCAAAACATGAAGAAAAGAGGGTTAAAGCAAAAAAAAAAAAGAAAGACGGAGTAGTAAGCTGGTGAGACAGAGGTAGAGAAATGTGTATGATTGTGAAACTTTATGCCAGCCTTTCCTGTAAAGAAATTCACAGGATGTCTTTGAAGATTAGAGGTTGACGGAACAGGTGCCTTGCCGTCTAGACGCTGACATTCTGGTGGGCTAACAAGTTTACTGAGCAGGTCAGGAGATTGGGAGACAGTGGGGGAAGGTAATAAGGAAAGATAATGAGCAAGTGCAGAAAATAGAAAGGAAATAATAAAAATGGAGAAATTGAATACAAGAAGGTGCAAGAGGAAAAAAAAGGCAACATGTCAGGAAATGACTTCTAGTGTGCTTATAGAGTGTGTGTGTGTGTGTGTGTGTGTGTGTGTGTGTGTGAGAGAGAGAGATTGTATGTTGCCATATGTTTATATATCACTGCATAGATCAGCACTTCACAACTACTGTAGTCAGATGCCTTCCAGTTCTTGTCAGAAATGCAGCCTGTGTCTGAATATAGAGCCATAAGGGATTCACTCTGTGTGCTGCTCTGACAGTGGTGACGCTGATGGTGTATCTGACTATAATAAAAGGTGCAGCGGGCACGAGTCAGGAGCTTTGGCAGGGATTTGAATCCCCTTCATCAAACTCGAGGCCAAGCGAATGAAGTGTTCGCTCACGGGGCAAGCGAAAGGTGACGAGGAGTGTAACCGAGGAGCTGATCTGTCCTCTCTTCTTTCTCTCGAGTGTGTCTAGCTTTCTCTCCATAAACACACACACACACACACACACACACACACTGCTGGAGGTAAAGTAAGGATCATCCTCTCAATCTCTATGTAAATGCACCACAGTGAGGAGGGAGAGGAGCCTGACAGAGCCCGGTGCTTTGCAGGTAGCCCGACAGAGAGGCTGGGAGCGCTGTCACCAATTTGTTCCTAGCCATGGGGGACATGCAGGGGATGGAGAGGCGATGGCAGCTCCCTGTCCTCATCATGGCTAATGAGGCCCAGGCTTTGCCTCCTCCCTATGTGTGTGTGTGTGTGTGTGTGTGTGTGTGTGTGTGTGTGAGAGATCTCTTTGTATCAGTATGTGTCACAGTGCCACCAAACCTCATAGTCCTAAAAAAAATGGGGTTGATATCAGACACAGCCCATCATGCACTCTTAGTTGTCCTTATACATCTCTCCTGGCTGAATTATTTACCGAGCCAAGAAACACACACACATAGGGAAAAGATCGGGTCTTGTTCAAGACAGCTACAATTCAATACATTGCAGATCTTCAGGGACACACCATCTGAGGCTTGCTTGCTGTGCTGGCTGACCTATCAAACCTTTAAGGAAAGAGAGCGGGAGTACAGCAGAAAAGAGAGAGAGGAGTTAGATGGCACCAGACATGCCATGGTAAGGTCAAGCTAACAATAATTCATTTTTAGAAGAATACAACTGGTTGGTGTGGGTTGATCTAACCCCTTAAACAGTTTAAACACCAATGCCATACGGAAGCCTTAATGAAATAAATTTACATTTCTGGCAAGTGTTTTAAGTTACATTATTATCCAGTCATGAGTCCAGTGAGTATAATTTCTGATATTACATGGAATTTGCTGTGTACACTCCAGTCTGTCACAGCATCTGAGCATTTAATTGCATCATATCTCTGAAATGCATGAGGAGAGATGCTCTTTTTTGTGATATATCAGTGGTCTCTACAAAGGCATTTAATCTTAATGAGAAATGAGAACTATAAACAGTGCGGCTGTGCCAAACAGCACTGTATTTGTAGTTCAGGAGCTCCCCAGTGTGGCTAAAAAGGGGAAGCGCAGCTTTTATTCCTCTTCATACTGTATGTCCCTCATCATATATTAGGATACAAAAAGGCAGCAAGATAGAAGTTGCTGCTAGAAAGCCTAAAAACTTGAAAACTACATTTTTCCCCTTCCAAATCTGCAGGGACTTCCTTAACAAAGCATGCAAAGCAGCTTCAGTATTACATAATGTCATCACTGCTCTATATGGAGTTGTATTTCTGGCCAATAGTTAGTCTTCTTTTAGCTCAGCTTGTCTCTCCTCCAACTCCTGTTCAATCAGCGCTCCAATATGGTGACCAGCTAGTCAACTTTGCCTGTGTGTTGTCTAGTACAGTGCATTTTTAGAGCGGTTTTTAAACCGTATTACATAGTCAGTTGGTCCATTGTGGGTGTAAGTATTGATTATAGCAGCTTTAAAGGGGGAAATATCAAATTAACCTGTTTGATTTATTGTGTGGTGGCATTTAATAACAAACACAAACACCAAATATAAAAGAGAACTTTCCTTTTAATTGTCAAATATAGTCCATTCACTCAAAAAAAAAACATTCATTCCAAGCTCCCAATGAACAACGATCAGCTGCTCTCTGAGAATTAATGGACTTGTAATTACTGCTTGGGCAGTGGCATTTGTGAAATTAGAGCACAAGAGGGAGAGAAGGAATATGAGGAGAAGAAAATGAATGTCAAGAGAGAAGTTTAGAAGAAAAATATGAAAGAGGCAAAACTGCAGAAAATCAAGGTGTGAGAGCAGTGAGCTACGCATGCAGAAAAAAACCAGACGGAGAGAACCTGAATTTTTCTGCTGATTCACATAACGCCAGAACATGGCCTAGTCAGCTAGCAGGGAAGCATGGAGGAAAGATCAGCTTTTTCCAATTGTCCCTGTGGGGTACCTTCACAGTATTAAGAGAGAAGCTTGTGTCCTGGCAGAGTTTAAAACCTGAAATCCCTGATTGTACAATCTGGTCATAACATCTGTGAATTCAGGTGAAATGTGTCCATGTTTCGTACATTCATTGTGGCAGAATTGGGGAAAAAAAAGTGGAATGTCTTTCCAATGCATTTGAAAAGACAAGAGGCTGGAAAGGCTCAGATATTTATTATGTATTATGAAGTGTTCGTAGCTGAAGGCAAATGAATAAAGGATATATACAGGCATTTTAATTATGACCATTAACAGTCTAGATGTTTGCTGCTTAATGAGGCAGCAGTGGAGTAGAGAAGGGTCAATCAGGGTGCTGGCGTGGGTGGCTTAAAGAGACCAGTCTTTCTGAAGTAGCGCACAATGAAAGGCACGGACACCAGTGTGATGCTGATGCGAACTGGAGCAAAGAGCTTGTGGATGGCGTAGGCCAGGACGAACGTGCTGGTTCCTGCTGCCATTTGAGAGCGAACCACTGCTTCGCTGAAGCCCAGCTTGCACAGAACGGCCGCCATATCGATCCCACTGGGGAGACAAATGGCAGAAAACTGGTTGGATGTGCATAGAATTTACAGCTTAGGCAATCACATTTCCTTTTTCCATTTTCTGTCCATTAGAGTGTGTTTCAGTATTTTATAGTAGAATTTGTTGCTTTTGATCATAATATCTCATAATCTGGTTTGGTTCCTTTTTATTATTTTATATTTTCATCGTGTATGGAGTATAGATATGTTATGATTGCAGTTTTGGGTTTACGGACATTGCTGCTCTGACAACGGCTTCAAAAACAGGCACCAGGTTATGTAATTATTAACTTGGACAGTCAGTTATCAGATTCACTTACCAGGAAACACACAAGCATTTACAGACTATTCCAAACATACAGACTTCAAACTTGCAGATGCTTCTGTACCCAAAAACTAAATTTGAAAAAACTTGCACTACAATAATAAATTTAAACTTAAAATTTCAATTTAAACTGCAGAAGCACTGCAAGTTGAAGTAAAACAAGTGAAAAGAGGACTGAACCTTTGTGAGACACTACTGTACAGTTGTGGCATTTTCAGATGCAAAGAATCGTTCTCACCGAGTTTAGAGCTGCTTCAGCTAAAACAACCTCTCTCACGCACATTAACAGTGCTGTTGCACTCAGACTGTGGTCAGCTAAATATAAGGATCCATCTGCACCCTGACTCTCTGTGTACCCAGCACACAGCACTGTATTAGCAGGCCACATGCCTGGGCTCTGAGGCCACACAGTGATAATGCTCAGTGGCTGCTGGCCGCAGAGTCACTTTTCAGTTCATGGGCTATTATCAGCTATAGGAGGAAATCTCCAAGCTGTCAGGCAATCACTGCCAAGTCTCTGGTATTAAAGGTTTTGGCATGTAACCATATAGACCAACAAGGGCCTGAAAATTGCCTGGACTGACACTCAAAATCAGCAGTAACAAAATGCAGGAAATGTAGTGTTCAAGTTTTTAAATTCAGCTTGTCTTGTTAAAAAATAAACATGTAATAGATGCTTGCAAGATGAGGAAATGATCTTGTTTTATTCAAGCGCTCAACTTAATTTTAGCGTCTGTCTGATCCAGCCAGTGATCTTTAAACAGCAGTAGAGCTGGTACAATGTGGTGCACTGAGCAAACCTTTTTAAGAGCCTGCACTTATTGCTCTCACAGCAGGTCCCATTTGCTGCACACATTTAGCATTTCTCAGTGTATAAACAGCCCACAGGGCAGTAATTTCCTGTACATATCTTTGCTTTAAAGGAAATGTTACGCTACTTTAGAAAATTATCAGCATCTGTAGGTGCCCCTTCATCCCTCATCTGTGGGGGAAAAAAAACAATCTGTGATGTTTTGTACCTGGATATAAGGAGGTAGAACATTCCCAGAGACATGAGGGAGATGCCAATGTGAAAGGAAACCCCCACTGCTCCATACTCCCTGAAGACTTTCTTTAGCTGCTGCGTCTTGTTGGGTTTTATTCCCTCAGGCTCAGGCTCCCCTGGGGCCTTTTCGGTAGATGAGCTGGTAACAGAAGCCTCCTTTAAATTCTGCCCGTCCTGGACAAAGAAGGGAAAATAGCACCGAGTGAGGAGAACAAAATTAAATGGCAGCATGAATTGAGAAATTGATCTCTCTTGCTACAGGAAGCAAAATTGAACTAGTCTGTAAGAAGACAGACTGGCATTCATATCCTCTCTGTATTTATGTTGGGATGTACAAGGAGCAAGGTGAATTAAAGCTGAGAGGATGGTTCCAGCATAGAAAATTATGCTTTCCACATTAGTATTCAAGCAAGATGGAGGCTTCACTTGTTTTTCCAACTTTAGCAACTTCTTTAACATTTTTCTGCATAGATTTTAACATAGGACAGATTTAAAAAATGAATCACATACTTCATATGAGTCAACAGTGCGTCTTAGATACTGTAGGCACTGGTGTGTACTATACTGTTCTATAAAGCCAACTAGCCACATGAGCATGACATTCATTTGTTATTCTTGACAAAAGGAAATCTACACTCACCAGCCACTTTATTAGGTACACCTGTACAATTGTATGTAATTCAGTGCAACACTGCCGCTTTGAAATCTGTGTTTATGGAGCTCAGTGTTTCAGTTTTTGGTGAAATTGTCAAATATTTAATTAAAGGTGGTGTTGTACTGGACTACATTATATTCAGAGGTGTCTATATTTTTGTCCTCCCCAGCTACATACATGAGAGGGTCAGAATATTAGGAACACCTCTGTTAAGGCAGAAGTATTGCATTGAAGTACATACAATTGTACAGGTGTGACTATTAAAGTGGCCAGCAAGTGTACAGCTATACTGTATATTTGCATGTGTATCTGCAGGTAATTTCATAGCATGTACAGGTGCAATAAGCACACTACCAGTCAGAGGTTTGAACATGCTTTTCTACTGAACTCAATGGGAAAGTGTGTCCAAACTTTGGACTAAAGGTGTATGTAAAAACTCCAGTGATTATCTTTGACCTTAAAAACGTCATGGTTACTGCCGGAAGGTAGTGCCGACCCTGAGCCATGCTGAAAACTGTCTTTCAATATGCAATTTGACAAAACAGTAACTGAACTTGCAGAAATGTGTGTAGTTTTAAACCAAGTTGAGAATTTCCTCTTTGACGTTCTGCTGAATCACAGCTTTAAACACAAACATGTATGTTGCTCAAATGGCACAACAGGAAACGCCCTTTATTATTTTTTTTAGTCACATATAGATACTCGTGTGTCATCAAAATATGTGCTGTGTCGAGTAGTTCAAAGTTGAGGTCATTATGGTTAGACGTATAAATGGGTCAAACACAGCCTGAACCTTTTGAGCTCCCTCGTCCAGCCGATTACTCACAGACCGTGTGGTTGAGGTCATTCACATCATCAGTCACCCTTTCACGGACACACACACACACGCACAAATGAAGTCTGTCTTACACACACAAAGACCCTTTCATAAGCGCACAGACACACGTGTACTCTGTGTCTGTGGCCTCCAGACACACCATGCTCTGAGATGAGAAAGCACCAAACGCAGGCCAGCCGTCCGCCATGTGGCAAGGAGGAGGTGGGTCACTCCAGTGTATGCTCACAGTAAAATGGAGTGAACTACATCACACAACAATAAGCCCGGCACAGCAGACAACAGACTAACAGAGCACTGATGGTTTAGCTGACACATCTGATGCAGCAAAGCAAACAGGAAGTTAAAGGCTAAAGTATGCTGAAGGAATTTAAATAAACTGAATCTTCCATCTTACTTTTACAACTGTAATCATGCTTAATGCAGTGGAACCTGTGCAGCATATACAGCATGTCACAGCTGACCTTTAGAAAATACAGTAATATCTTAAAGTTTTAGAATATGAGGGTTTATAGAAAATAAAATCTGAGTACTGAACTGCTCTGAATTGACAAAACAAAGCTTTGTGATATTGTACTGTCTCTTGACTCCTAATTGTTGTCACCTTTCGTCATTCCATCAAGTCAAACACAAATTTCAGAGAGCAGCATTCCCGTCTCTTCAAAACGTGGTTTTTGGACATTATTTTAACGCACTGCACCACCAATCATTTAGCCAGTGCTGTGACGCTGCGCTGTAAATATTCAGCACATAACTGTAGCTTTGCAAGCAGTCCCATTTTGACAGCACATTGATATAAAACCTCTTAATCATACAGAGACAAAAACCAATGAGTTGCCTCTACTCGCTGTTCATGTCTGTCAGTCCTGGATTAGTTTATTCATCTGTGCCACAGATTTCCATTGTTGTTCAAAAACAAAACTACATCAGGGAAACACACCACTGCACTGGTTGATATATTTCCTCAATACCAAACATTAGACCCTGATATTTTTTTAAATGTTGCCCCAAACAGCCATAACATTTTGCAGCATCTGAAATAAGCAAATGTCAAGGGCCAAGGCACAAAATCTCTGGATATTCTTAACAAATATCAGGGTTCGGTCTTTCGTAATGAGAAAATGTGTCACTAAGTGCAGCAGTGTGCCTCCCTGATGTGTTTTAGTCTTTGAACAACAGTGGAGGTCTATGGCACAGATGACAAAGTTAATCCAGGACTGACAGACAGAGAGAAGAGACAAATCAGTTGTTGTTTTAGTCTTTGTTTGGGGAGTGTTTGAAAATACCATTAATATAGAAAATGATCGGCTTTAGCCTTTAAAATATGCAAAACAGTCTTTGCTGTTTAAAAAATATTTCATTGATTTTTAAGTTTGGTAGCTTGCACCTAAGAGCCTCAAACAGCTTCTTTCACATGTAACTCCGTGGTCCTCAAACACTGAAAGCACCTCAGTGGTCTCCAGGTCTAAGGGAATGGGAGAACACAAGCTGATCTTTACTCTTTGTTGTAATTTGTCTTGCTAAACTTTGGCCCAAGTCCTCCTGGATGAAGCCACAGTGTTTGACATATTCACTTGCCTGTCAACAATGAACAACAGAAAGGCCAGAGTGGGTGAGAAAGCAGGCCTGTGCTTTTCAGAGGTCAGTCAGGCTGCCCTAAAAGTAAAAGCAGGGACAAGCGTGGGAAGGTCATGTGAGTGAGCGGCCAAAGGGGTTTGTGCCAGGGAGGGTGTATAGGAGGGGAACAGTGGAACTGCTGTGTCTGATAACAGGCTGTTCAGAGGCATGCAGACATGCAAAGTCACAGTGGCATATAAACACAGACAAAGCCACACTCACATGCACACAGAACAGGAGGGAAACAGTAGAGGGGGTCAAGCAGGAGCTACAAGTCAAAGTTAAACTGGACAAAACCGTAACCTACTGAGGCATCAGTAGCATTAGTATTAATTCTTTTTCCAGGCCAGCTGACAGATATTTGACAATGATCATTTTATTTTACGTAAATCTTCAGGCTGAATTCATTTGTTTATGTATTTATAACTTGATAATGAGCTTTAAAAGACAAGTGTGGAGAACTGTGTGAATACTTCTTATGCCCATAACCTGCAGACAGGTTTTGGTGCTCATCAGAACCAGTTATCTTACCTGGTAAAGTAGAATAAGAGTCACGCACTGTTGTGTAACAGGTCTGATCGTTACATAATCTTGAGTTTAATCGTGGCACCAGCTGGACCCAGACGGGTAGCGTGTTCCCCACCGGTTGAACACGGTCATTGTGTGGGTACAGCCTCCTTTTACTGGGGTCTGACAAACACTTGAATTAACCTTTCAACTCACCAGCTTGTTGCTGTCAGTCTCGGGCCCCTCCCCGGCCTCTTTCTTCTTCCTGTCTGTAGATGAAGCTCGGGTCTGCATCGTGGTGGTGGAGGTGGAGCAACCGGAAACACTCCGGTTACCTGTAAACAAACCATGACCCATCGGTTCTCCCAGATTAGCGCCCGTACTCTGCGCGCTTTTGGATAGATTCGCAGCTATAGTGGCCACCCGGCCCAAGTGTCCCCAGCTCTGGACGAGATGCGGGTCCGGCGGTGGCTTCCCGTGGTGCGCAGGTGTTGAATCGACACTCCCAGCGGATACACAGAAGGATCTGTACCGCTGAAACGTGAGGTCTCCGTGTAACGTAAAAGTGACGGTCCTCTGTCTGTTTGCTTGGATTTGCACTAGAAACGAGCCATGTGACTTGAAACCCTGATCCAGAACCAGCCTCCCCGTGCGACACAGAAACATGATCGTCCACGTCCTCTCACACGAGCCTCGTGTGTCCTGACAAATCAAATAAAGCGAGTGTATTGTTTAGAAGGACTGATCAGGACCGTGTGCAGCTGTAAACAAGCGGCCTTGTGCCTCCCTCCTGTCCTCTGACCGATTATCACTGACAGCCAATGAAGGCTGACGCGCAATCGCAGCTTGAAGTGGAGGGAGGGGGAATTTAAAGGTGTAACCGTGTTTATAGCTGAATTATAGCGTGAAACCGCTGTGGGGTAACCGGTACGTGCGTTTCACAGCCACGCAGCTCTGCTTTAAGTATTTGGAGACTAATATTTAGATTTAAAAATAAAATCAGTAGGCCAAGTCCTGACCAGGAACTCGCCAGTTAAAATGTGTAATCAGCTGTACAGATTTAGTTTGTTACCCCCTGTTTTCCTGCATGCTTTCTCTGGGATTATCATCCAGTTCAACACAGCTATCAGACCAAAAGAAGGTTAAGAAGATTACTACATTTCAGTACTTCCAGAGCTGACCACTGTAAAATGTCCTTACACCAAAGACTTGGTCACATGGCAGGAGGTCAAAGTTATTCCAGTAAAATAAACAGAACAAAAATCAAGTTGCAAAAACTCGATACTGTTCAAATATAGAGAACATATTACACTTCTGAGCATGGGGGCACAGCTGAAGGCAAATTAAAAATGTCAATTTTTTTTGCAAATAACAAAAAAATCTTAAATTAAACACTACTCTACATAAAGGGGTAGATTATACTGATAAACTCATTGTTGTGTATGTAATTTTATATCACAATAACAATATTGTGGCAGTTTCTTTAGTCAATGGATAAAAATACTGTAGCATCACACAGATGTCTGTTTGGCTAATCCAGCAATTTAATACTTGAAAATGTAAAAGATTTTTAATATATTGTTGTTTTTATGGGCTTTACTACTGATAGTTTGTTCATTAATGCCTGCATGCAGACCAACATTTCTCTTGGATAATAAAGTTTAAAAGTCAAACTAAAAACTCTAGGTATTATATCATCCTTACTATAATAGCTACCACATTATAATGCTCTAGCAGTAAACCTACATATATACACACAAATATATCATATACAGTATTTATATTACCTCACAGCATGTACTGTAATATCATCAGCCCCCAGTACAGCGCATGCTAGTTTTTATTGAGGGTAGTTATCTGTGGTTTTGGAGGTTATGTTGTGAAGAGATAAGGTTGCACAGCCAATAAAAAAAGTATATAACAAGCAGGGCTGTAACTGAAAAAGTAAGTTAGCTACAGTATGTTTTAAGCCACAGTCCATTTTCTTCTTGCCTTATTTTCTCTACCTTTGTTTCTCAGACAAATGTGTGTGTCTGTTCAAAGTCAGATAAAAGTATTAATCAAAAAAGGAAGTTGTGTGAAACCAAAAGATCAAAGTTTACATATTTCGGCTTTTGGGAAAAGCATAGTTTCTTAAATATTGTATTTCATTTTGTCACAAAATGCTGAGCCATGTATGTGGTCAAGATTGTATCATGTGATACACATCCAAAAGCAGAACATGTTTAAGAGACGTTTTCTTAAATGCACATAACGGTAAAAAATGCATCTATGCACACTCGCAAAGTGAAAGGCGTTGTGGGTGAGTAGGAGGTGAGATAAAGAAGAGGGTGGGATGTTCTGGCAGGAAGCCATGAAAAACAAAAGTCTGTAATCTGAGCCTCTGACCTTTTCTCAGACAAGCCACAAAATCGACATCTAGGCCGGTTTAAAAGGGGCCTAGATATAAATTTTCAACCACCTCTTCATGTTTTTATATTAGATATATCATAGAGAGCTGAGAGTGAGGCATTTGTTTGCCATTACGGGGCAGCACTGAATGACTCAAGCCTATTAATCAACCCTAGACCTAAACATAGTTATAACTCATTTGAAAGTCTCACCCTGAGTCTCTCACACCCGAACTGGAAAACTCAAAACCCTGTTCTGTTTGTTATTGTATACCGTCCACCGGCTCCTTATTCAGAGTTTTTAAGTGAATTCTCAGACTTTGTCTGATTTAGTGCTTAGTACAGATAAAATAATCATAGTAGGCGACTTTAATATTCATGTAGATGCTGACAGTGACAGCCTCAACAATGCATTCTGTTCATTATTAGACTCAGTTGGCTTCTCTCAAACTGTAAATAAACCCACTCACTGTTTTAATCACACTCTTGATCTTGTTCTGACATATGGCATCAAAACTGAACACTTAATAGTTTTTCCCCATAACCCTCTTCTGTCTGACCATTTTCTAATAACTTTTGAATTTACATTAATGGATTATACTCTATGTGGGAAACAATTCCACTACAGCAGATGTCCATCTGGCAATGCTGTTACCAAGTTTAAGGAAATAATTCCGTCTTTATCTACTTCAGTGCCGTTTGCCAACACAGTGGAAGGAGGCCACCTTAACTTGACTGCCACACAAATCGATAATCTTGTTGATAGTACTGCAGCCTTCCTGCGTAATACACTTGATACCATTGCCCCTCTGAAAAAGAAGGTAGCGAAACAGAGGAGGCTAGCCCCGTGGTACAGCTCGCAGCTCCACTCCCTAAAGCAGGCATCACGAAAAATGGAAAGGAGGTGGCGCTCCACTAAGTCAGAAGAGTATTTCATAGCCTGGAAAGATAGTTTAATAACATATAAGAAAGCCCTTCATAGTGCCAGAACCGCATTTTATTCATCACTGATTGAGGAAAATAAGAACAACCCCAGGTTTCTTTTCAGCACTGTAGCCAGGCTGACAAAGAGCCACAGTGCTGTTGAGCTTAACATTCCCTTAGATCTCAGCAGCAATGACTTCATGAGCTTCTTTACAAATAAAATCACAACTATTAGAAAAAAAATTGGTCGGACCACTCCCACAGCTCTCACAGATGTGCCATCTACTACAATGGCTTTAGAAACATCTGTAAGACCTCATTTAT